TGAAGCGAGAGGGAGACCTTGTGAAACGTACCTAGCCCTGCCAAAGTATTCATCCTCATTTCCAGCATCGGACCGTTGAACTAGTACATTAACAGACATTTCGTCGGCATCGTCAGTGTGAGGCGGCACCCTAACCACAGAGTAAGTAAATTGATAATTTATGGATATCAAAAGGTGGCAGGCTATCTTACTGTAAATAGACCTCTGTCCAGCATCCATATCAAAAGATATTGGGGTAATAACTCCTTTGACTCGGGGAACTCTGCCAAAAAGCTTCGAATGATGTGTCGATGCTGCGAAAGAATAAAAGAAAACAAAGAAAAACAGCAACTAGAACTTCAATGCTAAATGGGCATGTAAAGAGCTCAGTCACTGTAAGTCGCTTAAAATAAGTAAAGGAATTTAAGTATCGTTTTCGCAACTTGCTCGGAACAACAGGGAGATCTTGTGGAACGTACATAGACCTGCGTCCTTTGTCAAGCATTCGTGATTACCCGCATCGAACCATTGACTTGGCGAATGATGAAGAGATCCATATGTCGATACCATAAGAAAATGTCTCTTTTCTTTGTCCTTTGGTCAAGAAGAATGGAAATTCTAGGCTGACGCAAGCCTCCAGACGCTCTGTCTCTTTCAGCTTCAGCGAAAATGTTCTGGGCTTTCGTCTATCCTATTCTCAGGGGAGAGTTTTCTTTATGAAACAACTCCAGCTTTTGTTATAACCGGCTGCATAAGTGATCCGCAAAACAGATGCAAAATGGTGTTGAAAGATTTTGTCAAACTACTTGTGTATCTTAGATTGCATGCACATGGAAGTGAATATATTGCACAAGTAATCGTTCTAGAAAATTACAAGAGTTGGTGGACTTTTAACTCAGGAAAACCCATTACAGTGATTTTTCTGTTTTCCACTGATATGAAATTACGAAGCTATTCACTACGAAGTATCGTATAAAAACAGTTAAAATTTAAATGAGTTGATTCTAAAAATATCACTATAATGACACCCAATATAATTATTCGAGTACCCAGGAAATAATAATAATAGAATATAAGAACGAACCGACCTACCAGAGAAAGAATTTCTCTAAACGGGGTTTGGGCCATATGCCCCACATATGGAGGCTCCGTTTTGGGGCCGCCTCCAGAGCCAAATGACTCAGAGTGAGGTAAATACAGCTGATGTGCTGAGACCAAACGATCTACATTGTTATGTTCAGTGTTTCCCACCGATTCCATCAGGTAAAGCCTCCAAGATTCGCTGGCTGTCACAAGAGCAGCATCGGACAAGATAAAAAAAAGAAGTGCCATCCGACGAGCAATTAAATCGGATGGTTGTAAGCAATCACTAGCCACGCATGGAGAGCAAGTATATGCCTGTGAAGGTAATTGCCATAACGCACAAACTGATTGTAGCCTTTGTGGAGGATAGATCGACGTAGTGAAATTAAGAGTATCAGAATCCGGCGTTTTAGAATAAACCCCGATACATTCATGTTGACGCCAAACGAGGTTGGTTAACCGTGATAGGCAATTAGGGCGAATATGTGAGTATGAGTCATCATCATTAGTAATATGGCCAACAAGACCATGGAGAAGGCGAGAAATGAGCCCGCTATGAACTGAAGAACAAGCTGAAGTAATGTGAGAATCGTGGGGCGACTCAGAATATTGGAAAACTGGATTTGGCCGGGTGGGATATAAAACTATGTCGGAGAAGAGGCGATGGTTGTAAGGAAGCAGCGATTGGGTGGCATTGCTGGAGTGATTCAATAAATCAAAAAGGTCAATGAAACAGAGACTAGAGGAATTGCTAATGTTAAGCTGGCCATAAAAGAAGATAAAGATGCAAGATATATAGTTATATGAGGATTATATCTTCATGCTGCATGAAAAATTGGGCAAAACAAATTTTTTTTGTCTGATCGCATCGTAAAGTGACTAATATTCCCTCTTATTCATATAACATATGTAAGTATTTGTCTGGATATAGTCTATCAATCTGACGATGCTTGTAACATTTTTGACGTAGACTGATAAATCGAGTTGGTGACGGGCGCTACAATAAATATAACGCTATAAAAATATGGTGGGGCACAAATTCAATAAAGAGGAAACAAAATGAATTCAGACTGCCAAAGACTTTTACGAGAGTTTTCAAAGTAGATGAAAATATATTAACATTCTAGGGCTGACAAAAAAGCCAGTAATAATTCGTTATGAACTAAGCCAATAAGCCAAACGTTATAGAAAGATATTATCTAGTATGTTGAAAAGATGGTCTTAAAAAGCCTGAACAGAATTAGCAGATCCAAAAACATAAAAAAATATGAAGACCATGATGAAATGGCCTGTGGTCTGACCACAGTCTCGATCCGCTGAAGAGTAGGTTTGATCTCAACACAATTATTCCTTGCACATTTGCCCGATGTGCTTATATTATATTATCTTTAGTTTCGGTGACAGCATCGTTAACGAAAAGCATCCCTCTCAATACCGAGCTAAAACTCGCATAAGTGACAAGACAATCTTGTCAAATAATGCTCTATTAAACGCTTGTTGCACCCTACACACCCTCATGGTTGGTTAATCATTTTATCTAATTGCTCTGTATCCTCATCCGTCCCCACTTATGTATTCGCGCTGGTTCCAATATACCTCAGATATGCCCATTCTATTGGATAGTGGGTCGCATTTATTTTCACCACCAGTTTCCCATCTCGTCTACAGGGCTTTCCGATGTAAATTAATACCTCCATTTGACAATCCATTCCATCCAAACTCAAAAAGCTAATTCATATTGCCTTTAAAAATCCATTGATTACCTAGCTGGCCATTTATATTATCTAGACCTAGCCTAAAGATCCGCAATACCTGAATTATTGATATAGCTGTCACGGAAGGTATGAAAGAAAGTATAGGACTATACTAGGGCCTATTTTCGAAATCATGATAACTACATTTACTGTCTTGCTAAATCCCGCTGACTTCAGTCATGATTTCCCGTACCATTGCAATCGCTTTCTATTAAGTTACCTTTGCCCATCGAGATTCTCCCCCTGGCAATGCCTTTTCGTACCATTCAAATTATATTTTTGATCAATGCGTTTGATTTTTTCTGATTTTGCGAATCCTCAAATTCTTTCAAGTTTGTAGATCTGAAAAGAAAATATGTAGGATTGCGGCCAGCCACCTTTCTTGTATTTGTGCTTGATGAATTACCGTAAGGCACGGTGTACTGCTCCGAATATGTCCGTCGCATGAAGAATAAAAGCTCAGCAAGGATTAATCGGGATATCATAGCGGTATGCATAAACCAGCAATCGTATCTCCAACTTTTGAAATCACTTCTATCCGCCTGTTCAAAAGAAATTAAAGGTTCTTCAACATCAATCTATTCCAGTTTGTTTAACCTTGTATTGGAAGCTTACTCTTGCTTTAAGAAAAACTTTAATGAATGTCACTGTTGAGATCTGTCCTATCACCATGTCGTTTACTAGATACACTAACATCGTGTGGGCATTGGTTTCTCTCGATTTGTGAATATCTTCCAATGCCTCTTCAAAAGAAATGAAAGGTACTCCAACAGGTGTGGCCTCCTATTTGGTCGCAATCTCTTTTAGCAGTATATTGGTGGTTTGAACGCGTTTTCACAACTTTAGCGGAGCAACAGAAAGAGCTAGTGAAACGTACTTTGTCCTGAGTCCTTTGTCATAAGATTCGTGATAATTTTCAGCATCTGATCGTCGACCTAGCACATTCTCAGATGTTTCGCAGGCATCGAGTTAGTCTAAGAAATAGGATGAATTCTCACTGACGATGAACTGATTATTATGCTTCCTTGAAAAGGAAAACACACATCTGTAATCACTTTCCATATCCTTGTACTCCTAAATGAAGCTAACCATTCAGTTCCTTTTTGTGTTTAAATAATGTAGTCGATTTGAATAGCAAATACAACGTTGTTTCATCGACGATCCCACCACAGAAAGTAAAATTAGAAAGGCCTGGCCTTCCTTGAGATTCACGCCTGCTCTATGAGCCAAGAGCATTCGTGACAATGTGGCGTAGTGGTTAACATTATAAGCTAAACTATATGAGTTCGGGACCCGAAAGAGGGTGCTGGTGAAACCTAGGCGAGCTCGAAACTGCATGGATATGAGAAATTCAATAGAAATGAGACTTGGAAATCCATTTTGCTGGTATTTTGTGCCCTGTTAGCAAGTTTATTATGAATGAGATGTATTTAACCTAATAATGAAGGTCTGGTAATTGAAGTTTACCACAATGATGGGTAATACTAGCATTTGTATTGAATTTCACACAGTTTTACTTTCCCCAAAGTTGTTTTGACCCAGGTTGGCTGCAGTTTAGACACCTCATAGGTCTGAATTCTCAGCGGGAGTCGAATCATGGAAGTGCAGCGTTAACAACTCCACCACATTAGCACGGATGCCCTTGGATCACAGGTTAATTTCAAGGCGAGTTGTTCAGCCTTGTTTTCGCAACTTGGTCATATTGGAAGGAATACTTAGAGGATGGCACATAGTCCGGAGTCCATTATATGCCTGATAATTCCAAAGTCGGACCGTGCACAGGTACATTCCCAGACGTTTTGTCAGCATCGTTAGTAAGTCTTGCCAGTGTTAGCACCATACAGACTAGCCAGAGACATGTCAAACAGATCCTTTGACCAAATGTCTGGTAAACAGATGTGGTATCTCTCCTTCTGTCTTTGGCTATTCACCTATCCTATATCCTCGTATCACGTCTTCACTATCACAATTTTTTTCTTTCTTATTCAAATGTAGTGTGATGTGCCCTTTGGAGCGTTTTTCATGAGAACCCTCCACAATTCACGCTGGTGTTCTCAACCCCCTTCATCCTTGTGTCGGGAATGTTGATTAGAGTTTATCATATTGTTACGCAGTCCTCTTTCCCTAAGTCATATCAAAGTTTTCCTCTTGCTCCGTAGGAACCGTCTACAATCTCACAGCTTCAAGTATTTCACTCGACCCATACCACTGCATCTGTGCGACTCGAATCATTATGACCCATGAACCACGTCTATGGTAAAACAGGCCTACTGTCAACCAACTAAATACAGTCTCCGCTACGTCTATACCGTTTCTATCCGTAATACCAAATAACGTCTGGGAATGTACCACGTTCATAGTCCGACTCTGAAACTTATCATGAATACTATGGATTCAGGACTAGATGCGTTCCTTTAAGTCTTCCTACCAATATGACAAAGTTGCGAAAACAAGACTGCGAGCACACAAATGGCCATACCATCTT